CTTAACGCTTTCTCGCTAAGTTTATAGTAACGAATACCAGGCTGCATTTGTTCTAATTATATCTTTCTCCCTATTCTATTTACCAATTCTCATGTTTACTCGAAAGGCGTGCAGGAGCGTGGGTGCGCGCTTAACTAAATTGGGGGACAGACAGAGAGAAAGAATTCAAGTATAGCTGAAGTGTAAAAGAGAGGTGAGACTTTATGTCAATAGAACTGGGGAGTTGTGGCATATCCATTACTCGCATGCCTCGTACGTGATAAGCGGCGACTACTTTCTAATTTACGGATCGCCAGTGACGAAACACTACGAGGTTTTTTGGACAACGACGGCTGGCACTGTGTGGTCTGTGTTTACGTGATTTCATTGAAACAACGTTATTCTAAAAACAATAAAATTGCACTTTCCATTTTTACAATGCTAGATTTATGATATAGATAACAGACGCATTGAAGACTTTCTCGAAAGTTCTGCTAATTAGTGTTTTAAAAACAAGACTAGAATGTTTTATGTCGTGTGGCTGGTTTCATAACATCCCAAATATCGTCTGGAACATCTCTTTTTGTTGTAAAAAATATTCTTAGTTCTCTTAGTAACCTTACCTAGTTATTTTATAACAGTCTCTTCTATAATCACTTTTTCGTAAACAAATTAGCTTATGTATTTGTTGCTGGCGCATCATGTCAAAGTTCACTTCACATCTGATCTGTCTGCGCTAACGCACGAGCGCATCCTCCGGATGCTGTGGCGGATGTAAACACTTCCATGTGCGTCGGATGCGCATCCCTAAACAGAATGTCTGTTCCCAGAGCAATGCTACACTTTCCATTTTAGACACTCCGTATTATATTTTTTTCATTGCCCATGTGAAATCCGTTTTTTTTTAATTTATCTTAGCTGTATACTACTGTAAGCTATTACTTACACAGATAAATAAGCCTTAAAATTTCAAAACACAATATCCAAAACTAGATTAGAATTATCAGCTCTAATTTATTTGCTTTTTCTACTTCAAGCATCTTAATAATGCTATGTGCCTATGCATTTATTTGATATGAAGAATTATATTGTTAAAAAATCTGAAAATTTGTAGCTCTCATTGTCGGTGGAAAAGAAGAACGACTCACATGCGTTTTCCAACGCGCTCTGTCGTGAAAATGCCAATTTTCACCGCACGATTTCTATTTCAATCTAATTTTCTCGCGCGGAGAAACCGATCGCTCCAGTTGCTAGCTACGTCCCACATCTCTTGCTAGAAAGTATCGTAGAAAGTAACATTGGACTGATCTCCGCACAACCAATGCATCGATTACGTGCTGCATTTTGTCCGTTTTTTTTTCTGATATATGCGTGGTGAGTGAGCTGCGATGAAGAGAGCCACTGTGCGTTCAGGAATGTCGTCCGCTGATGACTTTTCGCGACGGATAATTTTGTCAACACAGTTGTCACGAGTTTATTGATTGTTGCTTACTAAACTGATTCTGATTGCTATTAACATTTTAGTTTAGTTTTCATCATCACGAGTCTATAAAAGTCCAGGCTGCTGAGGCACAGCCTATCCCTTTGTATGGTACAGGGAGAATGGGGCATGATCGACCACGCAGTTCCAATGTGGATTGGAGGGTGACTGCGGCTTTGCTATAGTAGTAATACGCTGTATGTAATTGTGAGTTCAACTGTCGCTGTAAAATTTGCAAAGTAATTAATACACAGCTAGGTGGAACGCGGAAGACTAGTGATTTATCCTTCAGCCAATGCTGTACGCACATTAAAATGACCCTGACGTTGTTCGTTACGGACTTACTTTCGCCACACACCCGAAAATCATTACGTGTTCTGCGTATGTGTAGGCTTGTGCAATATCTACTTTTGGCCAACTTTCACTAGTGGGTAACTTGCGCGGCCCGACTGCGAAATCGTTTCGTTGGCTTTTCTGAAGTCGCAGTGAAAGTATGCGAATCGTTTAATTGACTGTACCTGCTTTTGTAGACCTAAAGATTAAAGAGTCTACACAAAATAAGAGAATAACTCGCTCGAGTCCAGAATGTGAAGTCGTTATAAGTAACAGGCAATTACATTTTTGGCTTCTTTTGAATGTCTACAGTGTTCCAATGAAATTACAAATCCGAGCAAAAAAGTAGTCGCGTGAGAGGAAAAACGAGTTATTATTAGTTGGTAGAGAATCGCAAGCTCGCTTGGAGCTCTGATGCTATCATAAATAATGTGGCTGCGCGGCAAGCGTAGCGAGGTGGGAGAGGAGAGGGGCAGGAGGGGGGACTTAAGAGTCAAGGCCGCACGCTGCCCCCGGTCGACGCTCGCGCCCCACTTGTCGCTCCTGAGCGCCTCTCGCTCTGCGCGCCGACTGTTGCCGATCGCCACCGGACCGGCACGAACTAGACCTTCCGATGCGCGAGCGCACACACTGAACAGCTGAGACGTAATAAATAACATAACACACTGACTCGGTCATCCGTGCATTCAACTTTTGATTAGCTTTCTTTTTCACGGGCAAGTAAATTAATGTTACCTACCACCAGATAAAAGTGTTCTTTGTTTTTATCGTGCCTGCATCCTATATGTAGAAACTTTCCTTCTAAAAGTAAATTAAAATATCCATTAGGAAATTAATTATGTCTCAAATCTTATGTAAATTAATAAACAGCCGGATAGTTGCATGAATACTTAAGCATACATAAAAAATAATTTAATATGTAATATATTGTATACTATCAGGTGCGTTGATGATAGACGCCGATAGAATGTTTCTCGTCAGATTACCTATCTTGGCCGTGAAAGCAAAAAAAACTTACAAGAAAAGCTGTATCTGACACTAAAAATAGAATTTAATATCTTATGATATTGAGGCAATAATCTTGTGTAACAAAATATGAACACATTCTCGCAAGTAAGTTTTCAGTCTCAAGATTTAAAAACAATCAAATTTTGGTCATAATAAATCTGAAACCTGTTATAAATCTATGACACTTTCACCGCGATCTACTTTGTGTTATGTCATTTACCGGTTGTAGAAATGGATGGGTTGATCTTGTGAATCACCTCGGTCTTCAGTACTTACTTGAATTGTCAAAAATGTGGTGCTTCGTTCGTGGTACTTAGTTCTTCGCACTATTGTAAGATGCGAGATTTCATCTGCATTGCTGTAAATAAGATCATCTATTATACGAGACGACAGAAATAACAAGGACGAAACTTCATAAGTGCAGTGAGACGTCATTCAGCAACCGGCGCTCTCAGGAATAACAAGGAAGAAAAAGGAAGCGGTTCTCTCTGGAACAACAAGGCTCCCCAGCAGTGATCCAACATCACATCATCAGCACCTACCGCATTTATTCAGCAAAGAATTCTTGGAGTGTTATTTTGACACAGTCCACGAACATTGGCACTCCCGACTCTCTTCCAAATAAGTGCGGGCCGGTAACCTCTCGCTATTGCGACAGCCCGGCGCGCCGCACATCTATATAGAGCCCCTTTATATTTCTGAATTACCTGTGTTAAAAAAATCTTGTAAAAATTATTAAGTATTCGTTTAATAAGATGATGTTAGCGATATATCAGAGAAGACGAGCAATGAAAACGTATGTGCAATTTTGATTTTGTGCAGTAATGAACTAAATGATGTTCAATGTAAATACGACTGCGATAAATGCTCTTGACCTCTTTATTGGAACAGTTTTATCGGTTGAAAAACAAGCCAGCCGTGCACTACTCTGAATAACTCTAAGAGTGATCCAACTATTGCCAAAGATCGAACAAGGTCAGAAGATATTTTTTCAGTACCGGTGAACAGTAAAATCTTGATTTCTCTCCAAGAAAATTTTTCCTTTATGTTCCGCAATCAAGTGGCCGTGTTTTCGTGTAATTTATTAACTGCCGTTTGGGTGTTATTTATGCTAATAGTGGGTTAGCCTTATCAGTGGTAGCCAAGAATATTTTCAAAGCCAAAGCACTTTACGGTCGAACGATGTGCTGGCTGGCTGCGATCCCACATGGAACCTGTTTTTTGGCGAAGTCTATTTGAAGTGATTGCGTAACGCAGGTACCTACCTACTCAGCGCCCGGCCACCGACCTGCTCGCTAAATAATACAGTAAAAATACAAATGAATTTGGCAACTAAATAGGCTTAAATGAAGCCTATGTTTTAATAGGTTGTTACAATTCCGTGATGTATTAAAAATTCGGAGAATACATTTCAACAATCCATAATGAAAACATATAGAAGCGAAAGGTCACTCTTTCATTCATAAACAGAATAACCAGAATGTCTTGGGAATTAACATTTAAGTATTCGACAAAACAAAATTCATGTTATTTTTAGGTTTAGGTGCAAAATACCGCGTGAACAATAAATATCAAAATACCCAAAATCGTGTAATCCATGCCAACAAAGCTGCGGGTGGAAAAATAGGTGTTATTGAATACTGAAAAACAAACTACTACCCACAAAACCTTATAAAAGTTTTCATTCTTTGTTCCATCTCTTTAATGAAATTCTGAGAACGTTTTGGCTTTCCAATAACTGATTAAATAACAACTCGTGAATTCCCTGACAGCTATATATTTAGTTCATTTTGGAGTTCCTGCTGTGTGATTGACAATTGCCGATTACATTGCCATCACCCATCGTACTGCGCACCCTATTCTTGCGACGACTGGCATACCAAAACCTTATTAGTATGCGGACGGTCGTTCTAGTCACCTTTGTTTGGGCAGGAAACAGCCACTGCCGAAAATCACTTGCCAGTAGGTACCGAGTAAAGCTCCACGAAAACATCTTCGAGAATACGAATAATAACAGATGAAAAATAAAAGCCGTCACTACTGTCCGCCGCCATCACGACAAATGGTTCATGAAATGTATGCAAATTTTATAGCGTCCGATTTTAGGTGTTCTCGACGCGTCGTTGGCCACTCACTGTGCACGCTTACTGCGCAGTTGAATTCAAGGAAATGTATTAAAAGTCCGCTTTCTTTGTTCCAGGACGAGAGGAATTGTCACCGGCTTCTAGCGTTAATGGCTGCAGTACAGATGGAGAGTCAAGGAGGCAAAAGAAGGGACCGGCACCTCGTCAACAGGAAGAGCTGTGCCTCGTGTGCGGCGACAGAGCCTCCGGATATCATTACAATGCGCTTACGTGTGAAGGATGTAAAGGTAATATGCTAAAATGCCTTATTACAAACGAAGTTTAGAACATCTTATAAGATTTTATAAGTAAAAAAAAGTAAAATAAACGATTAACAGAAGAGCACACTGACCCATCGAAATGCACATCAGTCGCTGCAGTTTGAGTCATAACTAGGCCACCGATCGTTACTAAGCAAAACAGTAGGTAGTCGACAATCGCCCACGAACGTGCCAATTCAGCGTTGAATTAGCGCATTGTGCCATACGAGGTTGTTATGAGCTGCGCGTGCATATTGTGACCGCGTTTGAGACGGGACGTCACAATAGCTGTCTGCAGCCCGTCTACTCCTCTCAACTTGATTCACCGACACCTATCGGGCATCGCCACCAACCTTCACCGGCGACCTTAGCATAAACATTCACCGAGTCTATTCATTGTTGTACCCTATGCTGAGTGAACGATAACGACGAAATATAACGCGCGCTATGCAATTACGGCCAATTCAAACAATTTATACACTATCTGTCTTGGTTTTGTATAATAAAAAGTGACTCCTGTACATACCTAACACGACGCCTGCTGTCAATGACCCTCGCCTTTCAGCCAACCTTTTGCGCACATGACTATATTATCTATCTTATCTCAACAGGTTTCGCGAAACTGTGTTTCGTCATTTAGTGTTTATGTAGATTGTGATGCGATAAAAGATAACATTACTAACTGATAGTGACGCAATGCATTCCAGGTTTCTTCAGGCGGAGTGTGACAAAGAATGCGGTATACATATGCAAGTTTGGACATGCGTGCGAAATGGACATGTATATGCGGCGGAAATGCCAAGAGTGCCGGTTGAAGAAATGTTTAGCGGTGGGCATGCGGCCGGAATGCGTGGTGCCAGAAACCACGTGTGCGATAAAAAGGAAAGAAAAGAAAGCGCAGAGGGAAAAGGACAAACTGCCAGTCAGCACAACGACAGTCGACGATCACATGCCACCCATAATGCAGTGTGATCCACCGCCTCCAGAAGCTGCAAGGATTGTAAGTGCTTTATACATTTCATCATGCACACTTTTCATTTTTTGTTTCTCTAACAATTTAATCTTCAACACTAACTAGCGATGAAATACCAGACCTTGTCTTACAGTAAAGACAAGGGTGACTGTAAAGTTTAACTTATCTTTTTTTTATCGATGGATGTTAATATGACGATAGTAACCTTGACAAACCGTTAATTTAAAATAATTAGATTATAATGTTTCTATGATGAATGACATTTTCCTGTTGTATGGAAGTTGCCATTTCCGTATGGATTTTCCTAAAAGTCAATTGGGGAATTGATTTCGAAATTGAGCCTCATTCATCCATCGTTATTACTAATCGTAAAAACCGAGCTAGTTAATAATTGCACGGTTTCCTACGTGAAGCTGGAATGTTTGCAGCACGAAGTGGTGCCGCGGTTCCTCTCCGAGAAGCTGATGGAGCAGAATCGGCTAAAAAACATCCCCCCTCTGACGGCCAACCAGCAGTTCCTGATCGCGAGGCTGGTGTGGTACCAAGATGGATACGAGCAGCCTTCTGAGGAGGACCTGAAAAGGGTGACACAGGTAATCTCGATGAAATACTATCATAAACATGCTGCCGTTCTAGTGAAGAATGCAGTAAGAGCTCAGATGTGACTTTCAGAAAATGGCTTTTAAGGTTAAAACTTTAAACGCCATTTCTCAAACTTAGGTCGAAGCTCTGTTACTGCATTCTTCACTAGAACGGCAGCACGTTTGAAACATGTACCAATTATTAGATTAGATTTTCAGTGTATGTGCCCAAAATTACTTGTCTAGGTTTATAACTACTAGTAGAAGTAGACTTCATTGATTCTTTGTAAAAATTCTTATTCAGAACAACAGTGATAATTTAGATTTCTTTCCTGTTACCAATTCCTGGTACGCCGTTAATGGCAAGGAGATATGAATAAAATGATAGCGAGTATTAATTTGTCAGCAATTTATTCAGCTGCGTGTATATCTTCATTGAAAATAACGGTCTTGTTTATTCTCGTTATGTCTTTGTATGCTACAAGACAGATACGTCGCATGATTATCTGTAATGTTATGGATATCAGATTTGTCAGTAGCCAGATAAGTTGATCTTCTGTAAAAATATTGACAGATACCAGCCAGTTGACTTTTAAAAATTTCTTAAATAACTGCTACGGTTGTGCGCGTTTTAGCTAGCAAGGCTAGGAATTCGCAGCATTCCAGTACTACCAAGCTAATTCTATGTTTTTCTTCCACTATGTGTCCCATGCAAAGTCCCAGAGACTGGTATAGGACAATGATATCACATTGATATGTTAACGTCTTTTAGACTTGGCAGTCGAATGAAGACGAGGAAGAAGAAACAGACCTGCCATTCAGACAGATCACAGAGATGACGATTCTAACAGTGCAACTTATCGTCGAATTCGCAAAAGGCCTACCCGGCTTTTCCAAGATCTCACAACCCGACCAGATCACATTATTAAAGGTAAGTATCTACATTTATTTCGGTAAGCGCATTCAGCCTGCGTAAGTGAAAGTTAAGCAACTGGGGTCAATCGCAATGGTCGGTCATTGGATAGGCGACAAAAACCTATCATTTCGAGCTCCTTCGTGCTTCGGAAGGCACGTTAAGCCGTTGGTCCTGGGTGCATCCTATCAGCAGTCGTTAGCACCCAACAATCCGCACTGGGCCCGAATGATGGGTCATGATCCAATGTCTCTATTCCATTCATGGGGAAGGCTTGTACCCCCGTAGTGGGGATATTAATAGGCTGATGACGATGATAAATATAAAAACATATTTCACGTTTACTTATTTTCAAAAGTGTTTGACTGACGATTCCAGATAGATACACTTCTGGTATTTTTGTAGGAATCCTTAACATTTTATCTCCGAATCAATATGTGATGCTTAATTCATTATAGTTAGTCTATTAATGGTAACAACGGTCCCACTAATGAAGTAGGTACCTACAAGATACAAGCACAAAATTTGTGGTACAAGCCTTTATTGATATAAAGTACCACGTAATCTCAATAAGCACAGAATAACTCAAGACCATAAAGTTTAGCTTAGGTTACGGTTATACCCCTCCGAGGGTTTGAAAACAAAACTCATTAAAACCCAGATTGATAAAAAATATATAATATTCTTTCCTCACTTTTTGTCATATGCTTACGTAATGTAACCAAAACATTCTCTTTTTCATAAGAACACAAGACTTCATCTTGTAACTTAAAATATTTCCTATACTATACCTATGCGTCAACTAGACTTTGAACTTTGTTCGCGACTTCGTCCACGTGATCTTTGGAATTCCAAATACTGTCTAGGGGAAAACCTCTAATTAATGTAGATATATAATTTTGCGAAAAATCTACTAGTGGACTTATATTTAATATATGATCTCACAGTAATCTAATATTTCTTTGGTATAAAAAGTTTAATACTTGAGGTATGTTTCAATCCTTAATATATAATTAAATATTATTATATTTTTTCTCCTCTGGCAAGACTGGCGCAACAGCTGATTTTGAATTATCCCATTATTTTTAATTAATAAAAATTATAAATCTTAGTGATTGTGCTCATTGAGCGCGTGAGCATTAGTACTTAACAATTATATTTCGAGATATATATATATGTATATACGTTTTAGTATATGTATTCTATGTTTGTCTCAAATCCAAGCCTCAAAGTGATTTTTTTGGGGCTAGGATTGGTGTGAATTATTGGTCGAAATATGTACTTCGTTCTCGTTAGCTTTAGTCTTTTGAGACCCCCTCAGGAACCTAAAATTTTTCCGTCATGGAAAGGATCCTAAGTCTCAATCATGGCCATAAATACATGTGTACCAAATTACATCCAAACATGTTCAGCCGTTTTAACGTGAAAGAATAACAAACATCCTTAAAAACTTTTGCATTTATAGTATTTGTAAAGTTATATTTATTTCGTGTTTCAGGCTTGCTCGAGCGAAGTAATGATGCTCCGAGTAGCGCGGCGATACGACGCAGCCTCCGACAGCGTACTATTCGCCAATAACCAAGCGTACACCCGCGACAACTACCGTAAAGCGGGAATGGCGTACGTCATCGAAGACCTTCTGCACTTCTGCCGATGCATGTACTCCTTGTCAATGGATAATGTTCACTACGCGCTGCTCACAGCCGTCGTTATATTCTCAGGTGAGTGTTTAGACTATGATTTTGTTCGGTATCAAACAAGGCGTTACAACTTCTGTAAAGATGGAATGCCGCAATAGAAGTATAAGAATAGAGTAGGGGAGATATAGACTCTACTACAAGTGGAAGTGTCCCTCTAATAGAAAGAGAAAGAAGATGAGAAACCGCTAGCTTTCTCTCTATTCGCGCATGCGCATTGGCAACCATAAGCATCTTACTATTTCGATGCGATGCCATTGGATGCCATTCGTCACAAAAGAGAGAGATAGCTAGCGGTCTCTCATCTTCTTTCTCTTTCTACTTTTAGAGCCGCCTTCCTCACTCTATTCTTATACCTCTATAAATGACGCACGCCACCCAAGACTTGCTGCATTTCTGTCGATGCATGTACGAACTGTTTATCACAACCACTTTTAATAATCCCAGCTATTTTTTTTATAAACTTATGTTTAATTTATGGCAGTGCTGTGATTCTTTTCCTACTACACGCACCTGAAGTCAATAATAACTTAGTTTTTGTTTATGGAGTAGCGGTTTGGTTATCATCTCACTATTTCTTTAATTTGGTTTATTTACATTCCGTTACATCGATACATTAAAGCTTTTGTAAAGCACGAGAGTAATTTGCAAAACTATTTCTTATATAAAATATCTTCTATATTACCTATGTTCATATTATGTTCAACCATAATTCTCAGGGTATTAGAAATTATGATAACCAACTTAATATGAGGATGTTATGCCAACTTCAGTTTTCCTTAACGCAACCTATTCAAATAAACGAATAAATGACCTAATAATTGAAGTTAAATGTTAACATGTCCATGTTATTTTAATCTTATGTAGTCGCTAAAAGGTCCTTGGCATTTAAATTTGTCTTTCATTAACGACCGGATATTGTACCCGTCTTATAAACTTTGCCTACTTATACAGACACGAAGCTTTCCGTTTATATTATGCTTCCTTCATTCATCATTAATGATAAGAACGAAAAGTTATAGACCAGCCGCTAGCCAGATTGATACATAACAATTTATTAGATTATTTATAATAACTGATATAATACACAAGTTATTAATTTGAATAATTATTAATCTGTGATTGATACTATAAACATTTGATGGAGCACATAAATTGCCTTCCATACTTGTCTGGAAGCATTAATAAATTAATGCTGCTAATACACATAGAAATTCAGAATTGGTTTATTCAGTTTAGCCTGATACGAGCACTTATAAAAGTCGAAAAGCGACGTAAATGGTTTGCAAATTTACCTACACGACAAGAGACCTTGTACTGAGAAAACCAGCGAGAAATTTTACACATAATTTATTTTTACAAAGACTCAAGTTTAAAAATAAATTCAAAGTGAAATAATGTTTCTTCATACATTACAGTCACCATACAAAGCAGAACTTGAAATTTATATTAAAGTATGAATGAAACACTGATATTAATCAACGCCGTTGCGAATACTGTGTCATACGGTACAGGCAGGTAATGTGCGATTAAAGTACATATAGTGAAGGTTTATCAACGGGTTTTGAATCTATATCGTATAGGTCATTCAGTCTCTGTAGCATAAGCACCAAAATTCAAGTTTTTTTTATCGTGCCTTAACTTTTTTACTTTACTGTCAAACTCCAAAGTAATTTGTCAATTTATCGTGATTAAAAGCTATATAATATCATATCGCGGTGCTAATGCTGGAGGGGCAGATAGCTCACAGGACGTGACTGTTGGTCTTACATACCCATAAATGTATTAAATACATTTATTTATGATATGGGTGTCTACGTTATTCAAATATTGTGTTGCTTTTGATGTCAACCCTTTTTGTAGCTCTACTATTGTTATTTTACGTGTCCGTTGTTAATTGCAGACCGGCCAGGACTGGAACAGCCGCAGCTCGTCGAGGAAATACAGAGATACTACCTGAACACACTCAGAGTGTACATAATGAATCAGCACAGCGCGTCGCCACGCTGCGCCGTACTATACGCCAAAATACTTTCAGTGCTCACAGAGCTTCGCACACTGGGCATGCAGAACTCCAACATGTGTATCTCGCTCAAACTGAAGAATAGGAAGTTGCCGCCGTTCCTTGAAGAGATATGGGACGTGGCTGATGTGTCGGCGGCGCAAGCGCCCGCCATTATGGACGTGGCGACCAACCTCTAGCCCCCGCGCCCCCCCCAAGAGGAGAGAACGCTCATAGACTGGCTAGTTTTAGTGAAGTGCTAGACGCAATACGTCGGACGTGAAACGTTTACACTTAAGGACTGTGCGTGCGAAGCTCGCGGACTATAGACTATAAAATAAGTGCACGCGAACGGAGGGCTCTAAAGCGGCCCGCGACGCGCGTATTCGGTGACCGACGGCGAATGCGAGATTAGTGAATATAATAAATGTACGTTGTTGAAAGTTCCGAGATATATTAGTGTTGATCGTTTACATGGCGGCCGCGGTCGCGCGAAACGACCACGCCTCGTTTCGCCCGACGCGACGGCGCGCGTTTATTTCATACGACTGGATTACTACTGAGGTTGGTCACTCGGATACGGCTGTATGATAAGACTAAGTTCTATTAAGTACACCTCCTAAATTACAAATACAATACGTACATAAACTACGAGAGTTATAGAGAAGAGAAAAAAATTAATATATGAGATGTTTCTATTGGGTGTAAAGTTTAATGTTTATTTACCGAAATTAACTGTGTGTTGATTGAACCTTTTCGATTGATATATGACTTGGGGATAGTTCGGCGGTTGCACGCCGTGGTCAGTGATCAGTGGTCATTAGTCAATGATCAGTAGCCGTTGATTAGTGATCATTGGTTGTTGGTCAGTAATAATTGGCTATTGGTCAGTGATTATTATTAGTTGTTCGTCAGTGATCAATGGTTGCTGGTCAGTGATCAAAGGTTGATGGTCAATGATCAGTAGCCATTGATCAGTGATAAATGGTTGTTGGTCAGTAATAATTGGCTATTGATCAGTGATTATTATTAGTCGTTCGTCAGTGATCAATGATTGTTGGACAATGATCAGTAGCCATTGATCAGTGATAAATGGTTGTTGGTCAGTAATAATTGGCTATTGATCAGTGATTATTATTAGTCATTCGTCAGTGATCAATGGTTATTGGTCAATGATCTAGCCGTTGATTAGTGATCAATGGTTGTTGGTCAGTAATAATTGGCTATTGGTCAGTGATTATTATTAAGTCGTTCGTCAGTGATCAATGGTTATTTTTCAATGATCCAGTAGCCGTTAAATAGTGATCATGCGTCGTTGATCAGTGATCGTTGGGCAGTGACCAGTGGTCGTAGGACAGTGATCCATGGTCATTGTTCAACGATCAGTGTCTGTGATAGCGCTGCGGATGCCGAACTGTGTGCCCCGTAGTCGGTACACAAATCCGTGTTTGTTTATATATAGTTTATGTCAGACGTGTTATCGTGTTCTGTACACTTTTGTTCAGATTCATGTTCCATTGTCCTGTGCCCACGTCCCACGAGTAAATGAGTAATTATAATTTATTATTGCTGTGATTACATTTATAAACATGTTGAATTATCTTACTTAAGCTGAGATAAGTGTGTCTTATTACATGTAAAGATTCTACTGTACTACGTCGGTAGCTTTCACATAGTAACGTCATTCGGATTTTTCTGCCAGTTTGAACATTATAAGGGTTGTTTTACAAGCTCTATTCGCAATTGACACTCGTATTGCTGCGGTATAATAATGCTACGGAAGCCTTCTCGTTGTTGTATAGACGGACAGATAAACATTTATATTATGATAACTTACTACTTATTGAGGCCGATTAAGAAAAAGTCAGTGCAATTTATTCCATAAGAACATTAATTCATACGATAAAATAGCTCTGTGTACGTGTCACATAAACGATTTATTAGAAGAAAAGAGAGGATTAGAAAATTACCAATTCCGAAAATGAACTATATTGAAAAGCAATAACAATTAAGGTTGATTGCGTCGTTGTGTGCACGCTTCGAGGCAGCTATTATATAGCATGGTAGATGGGTAGCACCCCACAAAGAATCCAACAAAAATACAAGTTCCCAATGTTTACTAGTCTTAGTTCCATATATTTATCTATTATCACTATTTTCTTTTGAATCTTTATAAAAAGTACAAAACGGCAGCTATTAGTTCGACGACGAAGCTTTAAATAAGAATTTATGTCTGTGCGTATCTATGTATGTATAATCTCTTTGGCCGAGCTTACTCTATGGGAACAATATTGGTGTAGCGATGACTAAAATGTTTATAGTTAGCGTGCACGCAGCGACACAGCTGGCAACTGAGGCCAAGCACGAATTTTGACAACCCCATAATCGTATCGTCATCGACAAATTGTTCATGGGACAAACTAGCTTGTTTGTTCTTACGTCCGATAGGGGCGTTGTTTAGGTTTCATATAAATTTTGACGATGCGATACGATTATGGAGCATGAAAAATTCGTGCTTGGGCCTCTGGACCTGCCTCGATTCTTGCGAAACTATAGAACGCTATTCAACGTTCCGTAACGGCATAGCGTCTTAGCAAAAATACTGCCCGCTAAATTAACAAAACAATATACGATATGCCTTATTTCTCGTTACCTGCATCGTGTACCTACATTGTTGATGAATGGAAATAAAAAAAATAATAATAAATACATAGTTTATAGAATCTTAAATTTGAACGATCTCAATTTTACCAGTAAGCGTTGTTTTAAAAGATACCATGGATAAGATATTCTGTTTCGTTCAGTCCCCAGGCATTCATCGTTTTCGTGTGTTGTTTTTTTTCACATTGTTATTATCATCTCAGTAATGTTGTACAGTTCGTTTCAAGCCTTCGATGTCTGTCGCTAATAAGAATTAGAACACCAAAAAGTTTTTAAATGTCGCATCTTCATCTTCGTGACGCCACGAAGTCACGGCAAACGGCTCACCATCCATTTCTACGCGTTTAAGATTATAAACTTAAGTGTCTGATTGGTGCGTGATGTATGTCTTCTTTACATGCCATTTAAGTGTGGTGTATGTTGTTTACATTAAAAATAAAACGGAATGTTTGGAGTTTTTGGAAATGCATTTCTTAAAATAATTATACGTACGTATAAACAGTCGGAGTGAGACGATCGGGCTTGCACCGCGGATCGCGCGCTAGGTACGCTTCTGATGCATCCCTCTCGACTATAATGATAATTTTTTAATTCTAGCGGTAGGCGATTCTAAAAATAGTGAATGATGCACAAAATATTATATCACTGGAGTGTCTTAGGCGTCCCCACCAGGAGCGCATCGATAACAAACACACTGCCATTACCGATGTATGTATGGTGCGCGATCATTGTGTGCGTGTGATCATAGCGTATTATGTCATAATTATATTGGAGTCTTATCGTTTACGCAGTAAGGGTGCAGGCGTGGCGTTACTACCGAGACGTCGATTAACTGGGGCCGCCTAATTTATTTATCAATTATATTCTAACAATCATTAAGTCCATCAGAGATTGCGCGTTCTTATGACAAGGGTGTGATTCTTCAAGACTGTTATATAGGCTCATAGGACTATGAGTCAAGCGATGGAGCCGAAATTATAAATATGTTGCACCGCCTGTATTCTTAGATGCGCACTAGGGATTTATATAGATAAATGATACGTTACGCACGAAAGTTTTAAACGCTATGATACGATGCCTTATATCTGGGATGTAATCGTAAGCAGTCCACGCTAAAATCACAAATCGGAAAATCTTCAGTCTGCCTGCGGTTCACATCTTGGTTTTGTGACAAATATAACTGCCATTCGATAGGTAAGTAATTGTTATACATCATTGACGCGTAGTCGGTCAGATCATAATAGCTTCATAGTTTTCGAAATCCGTGGGTGCACAGCCGGTCGTGTTTGATACATATTATTCAATTTCGAAATTGTAATAGATTTATTAAGTATGTAATAATCTCAAATGAGAAAGTAATAAGTAATGAATTACCCTATATAATTTGTGTCTTAGCTGATAATGGAACATTAGTAAGATGATAAGTTTATATCGCTTATTAAGATGACGATGTAAAGGGAGACGACACTAGATCACACAAGAGCAAAGTGAAGGTGTAGGAAAGAGACGACTATGTTTCGACAAGACTGGCTTGGGAAAGCGCGATGGTTCGACTGTCACAACCCAATTGTACTTCTGCGATTGCCTTTTTTAAAAAAAGAATTAATCTATAAATTTTACTTTTTGTATGAAATGTTAATTGTAGTGACCAAATGTGGCACGTCCAGTCTATTATTATACGGTGGACTACATTGGACGAGTCCGCTCTATGTCCATTAAAACTTTGTACATAGATACTTTTAGATTCTATTGTCATATGTTTGACATATGTACTTTTAATTTTATTCATCTAAGCAAGTACAGATGGCTGTTGTTATTTTTATATTATTTGGGTAGAAGTATATTTTTTGTAAATGACCTCTGTATTTATCTTTTGTAAGCTTTGTAAGCCATAGGGACTTAGTATAGTGTACGAGCTACGAACATTGTGATTGCTAACGTCATTGAATACGTACACACAGAATGTTGTTCTGAGTACGTATTCTTCGTTTCGACAGATTTTTTCTTAATAATTTTTGTTACTTCAAAGTGCAATATGTACAAATATTTACATAAATATAAAATGTACAGTCAATTTTTAGTTTTAATGTGTCAACGCAATATATTTCGCTATTCATTTGTTGAATGTAAGTACACTCGGAAGGCATAATAACTTTATCACAAGTGAGTTGCGACGCAACCCCACTCTCACATTGTGTTTTTCTAATACTTAAGTGATTAATTTTATATATAGAAAGACTTAGGTGATCATTGTATTTAAATTTGCTAATTTTTTTGTAGCAGATTAGATTTGTTTACATTCATAAGGTGAATAATGTAAATTTTGAATTGATTTTAAAGTGATTTTAGTTGTTATTTACTAACGAATTTTCTTATTAGGTGTAACTGGCAGCCTCGTGGACTGGCTACGAGTCCACTGATACCAGTGCGATTTGTGCAATGTCTGTTAGATGAATAACGCGTCGCGCTTCAGTGCGTACACATTTGTGCAACATCGGCGACACTGCATTACTACCCGGGCATTGCGAAACCCGAACACTCGAACTACTTATTACTAAACGAATGGAAAGCAACTCAATGCAGACTTGTCGTTCTTGGAGCGTGAACGTGGAAAAATATCTTCATTGTCATGTAGTCTCTGTCTGATACTTGCACTGTTTGCACTCTCACCACCAGTGAAACATTAAGGCCAAGTTTCTCATTCACTTTAGTGCTACGTCGTACGAGTAGGAAGGCTGATTTACGCTCGTGAGGGCCCATTCCGTGTTTGTTGAGAACACACATTATTATTTTTTTGTATATTGTTTCGTAAACCTTTTAGTCCGCGTTAACTTACATTATTACTCTCTTTAATACTTTGCCTTAGTAAATCCTCTGTTATTAATTCATTTAACAGCAGTGGTGAAGCGAATTAGATTTAGGGAACAGACATGACGATATGTTAAAATTTTAGAAAGCCAACTTTTATAAAAGATAATAACTACAAAATGAACCAAGAAAAGGTGTGTACAAAATGAGGAAATTTGTATGAAACATTGTTATGCGAATAAACTTACACCTCAAGATAAAACTATAAAAAATATTTTTGTCTTTTATTTATCCCTATTTCATTAGTGAACAAATTAAAACAGTACTTACATTAATTCTATAACATATCGAAAACCATCACTCAAGGTATAAACACACATTATCTGCTAATGCTCAGTTAGAAGATGTTATTTTTGGGAAATACA